TGTGCGGTCGCGGCCAGGCAGGTGGTAGGTGGTAACTGCGGCTAACCTGGGCGGCTGCCCCGTCATGGCCAGGCAGGTGATGTGTGCTGAACAGACATGCAGCAAAACCGACCTTACCCACTGCTAGAATGATGTGCAACTGCAACAACTCCAAGTTCTGGAGTTTCCAAAACCTCCCGTGTGACCGTTTTTTGGGGGTTTTTTTTGGAGAGGTTTTTACTATAGGGCGTGTATGCTCACCAGACAGACAGAGAGAGAGACAGACAGAGAGACAGAAAGTGAGAAATCACCCCCCAGGGGGGATGGCCACGCCACAATCCCTTCTCCTCCATTCTCCTCTCGGGAACTTGGGCACGCATGCACATGCGCCCGGTGTGATTTTTAAGCCACCAAGTCCTGGATGTGAACTGCGGTCGACTACACGGGAGTCCAGCGACATAGCCATTATGCTAACTGCTGGTCCCCCGTGTGATGTTTTCAGACCATGGCTGGCCAGGGGAAACAAATGGAAAGCCAGACTGCAGACACAGGTACTACGTGTTTCCCTACCTCCTGCTATTCTGGGAGCTGCTAATCCTTATTTCTCCCCTGAGAGAGAGAATGAGATAGAGAACCAGAACCCCAATGGGATCCTGATGGCACGGCCCACTGGTTTCAGCTGGCTGGAACTGTGGACACGTGTGCACGGTGGAGGGCCCAGGCCGTGAAGCAGGGACTCTGCACAGAACGTGACGCTCCACTGTGGCCCTGCCCGTGCTGAGCTGGTCACGTCGGCATTTCCAGAGCCCCTGCAATCTGGCCAGGCAGCCCCTCATCCTGGCACTACAGCAGTACCAGCAGCCTCGGGCACCCGGTCGCACCTGATCGGCCCCTGGTGGAGATCTCACAGGTCAGCCGCTTGAAATACTCCGGAAGGTCAGCATAGTCATTTCCATAGGAGATGACCTTAATCCCCTTGTCCAGCATGTTTTCTCGAAGCTTCTTGAACTCATCTGCGTCCCCTCTGCGAACCAGCATGAAATGCTCCAGGTCAGATTTATGCTTGACGGCCTCCAGAAAGAGGGCCTGGAACGTGGTGTCGTCCACGGTCCAGCCGCAGCCCAGGAACAGGAACGACTTGTTTTCGTAGAGTTTCTGGATCTCCCTCTTGATGGAAAAGAAACGACGTTCGTTAACGACACGGGACACACAGCCACATCTCGGGCTCTGATCTCCCGAGGCGGCAACCTGAGGGGGGCCGAGGGGTCTTAAGCCTCCCCAGTTGGCCAGGGTTTCAAGACAATGGCTCCAGCCCCGACCTTCCGTTTATTTTTATAGGTTTATGTGCCCAGAGAACACTAGGTGATGAGCAGGCCCTCAACATGTATTATTACTCCTTCTTCCTGATAAACTGAACCATGAACCGATCACCACAGAAATGCATCCCATCTCCAGGTTTCTGCTCAGACCACCGACATGCATGTGAGTCTCCACGTGTGTACACACGCTGGAAATGGGGGTGATTCTGCCAAGGGGCCCCTCGGCCTCATGCGGCGCAGGCACAGCAGAGGCCCACGAGCGAGCAGATGCAAAGCCCAGCAACCTCGGGAATGCCCGTGTCCCTGCTCCCTCCCGCCACAGCCTCCGCAGCTGCTGCCACTCGTGACCCTGTCCTGAAGACAGCCCCCACACACTGGGGGTGGGGACCAGTGACCTGGCGCTGTCACCGGCCAGGGAGTGCCTCTCCTGTCAGATGCATGTGAAAATGAGCCCAAACTTGCACCCTAAAAGGTCAACAATCTTTTTCACCAAGAAAACTACATCTGAGCGCCGGGGCTGAGCTCCGCAGCCGCCCACTGGGCAGGAAGGTGAGGGAGCGGTCAGCTCAAGCTGCCCGTCCCTGCAGGGCGTCTGCAGGCTGTGTGCTGGCAGTGGCTGGTGTGGGAAAAGCTGCATCCCGTACCTCTGGCACAGACAGGGTAATCGACACACAGCATGAGAGAGGGCCCTACTGCGAGCCCTGTCTGTGACAATGAAGTGACGCAGTGCCACATGCTGACGGCCCTCGCCACTGGGCTGACACCCGAAGGGCAGCTCTGCCTCTCCCAGGCCGGCACACCCATGAGCTGGGACACGACCAGGACTGACCTTCTGGGTCCTGACGGAGGTCAGGAAAACAAGCCCTGGAAGACCCGCGGCCACCGAGAGCGGGCCCCCACGCGGCAGGCCACCCACTCACCATGACTTCGGTGTTCCGGAGGACATTCTGGTACCCGGCCGGGTGCAGGACGATGCCACTTGGGTTGGTGTAGACCCCGTGGATGTGCAGCACACTCAGCTTCCGCTTCTCCTGAGCCCACTCCAGGACCTGCATGGCACACGCTCTACAGGCGGCAGGCACTCGCCCACTCCCAGCCACGCAGGGCCCCAGGACGGGTCCCACCACGACCGTCGGGACCACGGCAAGCCTGCGCATCTCTCTTTGAAAGCAGAACCAGCAATGAGAGTTTCTTTGTCTGAAGTTGTTAAATCAAAGGGGCCCTTCCACAGGCGGCATGGCGTAAGCTGACTTCCACGGACAAACGGAGAAAGCAGGCCTCCCTGCGGAGGTGACCCCGGCGCCAGGGCTCGCGTCGGCCAGCAGGACGCTAACCAGCACGGCGCGAGCAGAAGCGTGGCACGGGTCAGCAAGTTTGTCTCTCTTGTTGCTTTGGGAACCGGCTGCCAAGTACAGCATCTTGAGCTAGAGATTCAGGGCCCAGCTGGCCGGCTGCACCGAGTCTGGAGTGCAGCCCTACCCCAGCCCCGCTGCTCTGACCACGGGACGACCCCGCTCTCTGGGTGGCACAGTCCCACACGTGTGATTCGGTGTCATGGCTCAGGGCTCGGATTTCAGGGCTGTGCTGAGGCGGGTCCAGCCGCTGTTCTGCTCTCGCGGTCGCTACAGAGCAGTTGCTGGGTGTATCCCGTAGAGGCCAGGAGCGGCATGCCCTCAGGGGACACCGAATCTCATGGTACCAGCCACCGCCAGGTGCCAGAGCTCAGACACTTCTTACTTGTTTTTTTCTAGGGGACTAGCAGGTGGCGTGGTGCTTAAGGTGGGGCACACTGCCCCATGGCCGACCAGGGTTCAAGTCCTGAATCTGGCGGCTGGCTTTCTTACTTCCTCACTCTCTCACTCTCACCCTCTGTCTCTCTCTGGTCAAACTAAAAAATAAATGAATGAATAAATAAAATAAAGTAAAATAAATAATTATTTTTTTAAAAATAGGCTTTTTCCTAACAATTATTTTATTTAGCTATATTTTTATTTCATTTATTTTAATTTGACCAGAGAGGGACAGAGGGAGAGAGAGAGAAGGGAAGCAGTGAGAAGGCAAGCCACCAGGGGCCTGGGACTTGAACGGTGGTCAGCCATGTGGGAGTCAGTACCCTTAACTGCCACACCGCCGGCCACCCCGTGAATTTTCAAGCTGGGTGAAACTGAAGTCACAGGACTGCAGTTCCCTGTACGGGTACTGACTGTACCCCTCAACAAAGACCCCGCAGACCTGCCTTCCCTCTGCACGGACGCCAACACCGCACCGCCGACAGCTCCTGCCACGCGCCCGGGTAGGAGCCCGCCCCGGCTCACCTTCTTCTCATCGGTGAGGTCCAGCGACTCGAGCTGCTTTCCCTGGTGGGCTGCATACAGCTCCAAGAGGTTGTCGAAGTTCGTGGTCAGCACCAGGGCCCCGTCCTCCATCAGGTGAAGGACTGACTGAAGCAGCTGCTTTCCAGAATCTTCCATCTTTGACCCCAAGTCGTCGAACACTTCATACAAACAGTCCTTGAAGAAGGTGGAGCGCACATTGCTGGTACGCTGGGGAGGAGAGGGAGGGGAGCGTGAGCCCCCGGGGCCCCGTCCTCACAGCAGTGGCACACGTCGACGGGCACGCTGCAGGAGCCAGGTGAGCCAGGACACGCTCTGCGGGCTGAGACCAGGCCTCGCCCGCATGGCACTGAGCAGACGGGCGCGCCCTCCGACGGCTTCACGGGGGAGAGGAGAGCTGGGGAGAGGGCGCAGCGGCCACTCGGGAAGAAGTGGGCCTTCCCTCTAGCCCCCCCGCGCGAGTGCGAGGACAGGCACGTGACAGCCGAGTGGGGCTCAGCATCTTGCTTTGGCCCCAGCCGTCTGGACTGAGCACGATGTGGCCGCCAGAGCTGGTCTCCTGTGGGGACACCTGGTACGTAACGAAGGTTACCAGAGTCACTGCCCACTGGAAATGCCAAGCACTCATCGTTTCAATCAGTCCCTATGTTTTACTTAAAAAGTTTTGCTGTGGGTCACATGTGCTCACCAAGGGATGGAGATGGGGAGGGCGGGCGTCACCCTCACAGGGGGACGGCCACGCTGGAATGGGTGGGGGGTGGGAGGTGGCCAGGCTGTGATCCCTTCTCCGCTCTCAGGTTTTGGGGCATACGTGCACACACACCCGGCAGGTTTTCTAGCCCCAGGCCCAGGACTGGAACTGTGCGGTCAGACGGGATCCAGCCACTTCACCTGACATGCCGCCAGCTGGCCCCAAGTCCCTCGATTTTTCTTATAACTGGCTTTCCTTCAGAGACTGGGGAGGCAGTGTAAAACCGACCTCAGGCGGGAGGCTGGCTTTTCTTTCTCTTCAAAGAATTCATTTTATTATCATTATTGTTGTTGTCGCCCTTATTTTAATTTGCTACAGGGCACAGGCACACACCAGAAAGAAAGAGAGAGAAAGAACATGAGAAAGCCAGCCACCGGGTCCAGGACTCGAACCACAGTTGGCCATGCGGACTCTCCATGCCAACTGCTGGCCCTGTAAATCCTGATTTTTAAACTTATAAGGCAGAGCAAGTCAAGGGTGCCCTTTAGCCAACTCAGTTGAATACAACAAAATTCCTTAGAAATATTTTGAATGAAAAAAAAAAGTATAAAAAGATACACGAATTAATTAAGAACGGGTTTGTCCCATCACAAGAACAGCAGAGTCATCCGCAACCTTCCCAAGGTCCCCGGAAGGCCTGGATGCCCGAGAGCACGGCTTCAAGCAGGCAGTGTAGGCAACGTGAACGGAAGGGGCAGCCCCGCCTCCGCTCACACACGGGGTGCCGGCAAGGACTCACGGGGGACAGCTTCTGGATGAGGTCGTGGGCCACGTGGATGAGGTTCTTGTCTTCGTGGAGACACTTCTGAAACTTCTTGCTCTCCTCATCTTCCAGAAGGTCAAAATCGATGGCAGCGTCCAGTAAGGCCTGGATCAGCCCCTTCCAGGACTTCAAGGCGGGGACCTGCGGCGCCACGGCAGCGCTAATGCCCGTCCCGATCACCAGCACCAGTTCCCGTGGCTTCTTGGTTTTCAAGCTGGGGAGCAGCTTCCTGCAGAGGAGAGGAGAGAGCGGCCCCCGACAGGGCGTGACCACGGCGCAGCTCTCCCTGCAGTTTTCATGGGGCAGACATGGACACCTCCCCCAGTGGCTCGGCCGAACACCTGGACACCACCATCCCGGCTGCAGAGCAAGGGTACACCTACTCCTGGCACCCTGGGCGCCAATGGAAACCGGCAGGAGAGCCCCCTCGGCCGTGGACAGTGCAGAGGTCACGACTACCGCTGCGTCCTGCCGGCTGCATTTAAACCAACGTCACATCTCAAAGGAGGCGTGAGCGCTACACCCCAGAAGAGAGAAGGAGCCACACAGAGCGGGTCT